ACCGTGCGCGGGGAGAGCTTCCGAGCCGGCGCCAGGAGACGTTGTGTGACGGCGCCGATAGTCCGAGGTGGGCTATCGGTCCGGGCTCTTTCTCTCCAACAAAATGCGGCGGATCGCGTGCGCTACACGTTCAAACGGTATCCCGATTCAGCCCATTTTCTGTGAACCCTCCTTTAAAAAGGGCGCATTTTCTGGAATAGCGTCGGGCAGCATTCGAGCCGCGAGAATATTTACAGCCGCAAAGCCTTCATCTCAGTATAAGGAAAAGCAGAAAAGCTGCATATTACGGCTTCGGCGTCAAAAGACGTGTGCTTCGAGCAACGAAAAGTACAACCTGAAAGAAAGTACAGACAAGTCTACATGATTCACAAAAATCGTTACACTTGATATGATCGTAACACATCCGAATATGGTACCTATTGGCAAGAACACACGAACGAAACAGTTAAATCGGTCAATCGCCCATTTTAACACCACTAACAGCCATTTCAAACCTCATCCGGGAACAAAATGAAAACCCAGCGCCGAGATCGCGGGCCGAATTACCGGCGTTCACCAACTGCACGCCCTAAAACGCGGCGCGTGCTTCGAGCCGAGCGTCCGCCCGGCGGTCGTCGCGCCACTTCAGACCGGAAAACGCCAATAAAAAGCCAACAAAAGCCGGCTCGTCCCGCAGCCGCCGGCGCGCCATTGACGAGCGCGGTGCGGCGTTGGGCGGCGCCCGGGGCGCGACGGCGCGGCGCGCGGCGCACGGCCCGACGGCGCCGCGCCGCCGTGACGGGCAGAAGGGCGCCGAAGAGGCCGGCGCAGCCCGCGTCGCCGAGCCATGACAAACGGCCGCCGATTACGCAAACCAAACAGAGCTCTTGACCTCCGACAATGCCGCCCTGCCGGTGACACGGCGGGCACCTCGTCACCGGCCTTGGCGTCTCCTGGTCGGCAGCGCGGCTGGACAGGCTCGCATGTCTGGCGCGGGGTGGCGCTCTCGGCGCGGCCGGCTGCGTCAGATACGGCAGCTGTCACGTCAAGTAGGGCAGAGCGGAATGACGCGGCCGTCAACTGCGCCAGACGCAGGGCGCGGCTTTTGTGTCCTGGGTTTTAAGTGCTAGCTGGCAATGTGGGGTGTTCCTTTCCAAGACAACGCCAACCAGTCTAACAACGCACTCAAGTGTGGAACCAGCTGTAATGAAGACAGATGATAATTATTGTTTTAACACAGCCATTATTGTCACAGACTCTCACGCCCGTTTCAGTCCTGTAGGCGGTGAGACAGTTACGCAATGCATGGGATTCTGTGACCAAGCGTTTGCCTCACAGCTGGGCCGCGATCGCAGTAGAAGCGCACAGGGATAATTAACTCAAAGAACAGAAGCTGACTCGACCGGGCGTCTTCTTACCAAGACTGCTACATCACTGTCAGTGCTCTCTGACACATGGACAGTTATTCATTTTTCATTAGGTCGCCGATGTCACCCCATGGGGGCTGTACTGTCAGAAGAAAAAGCCGAGTTTTGCATACGCGTTGACAGGCGGGGTGTTTGTTACTAAGCGCCGGCGAAGTCTCCAAGATAGACGTCAACACAACGTTGCAGTCTCCCCGTCAGCCGCTGCATACAAATTACAGCGCCGGGCGCCATGACAGTGGCCGAGCGATCTTCTCAGTGCATTCCACGTGGCGTGCGTCATACTGGACCGAAGCAACAACAAGCACGGAATTTCCCCAGCAAACCGACTAAAGCATCCTGTTGACTGGCCTCATTCAGGCCCAGTGGCGTTCAACAAAGCCGGCCGGCGTCGGTTGGTCGGCGGCGCACAATAGCCGCGCCCGGCCCGTCTCGGGCGCCCTTTCAGAGCGGCCGACCGCCGGGGCACGCTCGCAGCCCGGCGCAGTGTTGCAGGGCCGCGTGGCGTCACCGCCTCACGCCCGACGGCCCACACGCGGCGCGCGCAGGCCGCCGGCGACGGGCGGCCGGAGGCGGCGGCCGCCCGGCGGGCGCTGCCTTCCCACGGGGTCAGACGGCCGCCGCCGGTCTGGGAGAGGTCGGCCGGCGGCGGCCGGGCCGCGGCGCCGGCCGCGGACGCCACGGTCCAGCCGCGCTCCGGGGGTCCGCGTCCAATGGGCCGCGGCCAACGCTTCAGCACGGCGGACGCGGCGCGAGACGGCCGGCATTTCCGCGACGGAGTGCTGCAGGTGGCGTCCGGCCTGCAGCCCCACGGCTAATTCGTCGGCGCGGGGGGTTGCTATCCGCCGGCATCGACAGCTCACTGGTCCTGCCTGGAGCCTGCCCTTAATGGGAGACAGCCAACAAACAGTGCACGGCGGGCCTTGAACAAAGCTCCTGCCACGAGACACAAAAAGGACGCCCAAAAGCCGTCTACAGCGTGAGTCACACCCGGCCACCGACGGAGGCGGCGGCGGCGACTGATTCACAGCGGCGGCGCGCGCCCAGCCGCGTAACGGAACGGGCCGTGCCGTTACCGCCGCGTGACACTCAGCACCGCTCGCCCGGGCGGCCACGCCTGGGAGCGGCCTGACCCGGGGTCGGGCGGTCCGCCGCCGCTGGGAGCCCGTTGGCGCGCCGGCCCGACGGCACCGCGGAGAAGACGGGGCTGGCCGAGCCGGAGCTCGAGGGCGAGCGCCCCACCGCCGACCGGACGCCGGGAGTCCCGCCGGGAATCACCGGGGCCGAGTCCAGTGCTGCAATCCGGCCCGGGCGCGGACCACCCCCGACCCGAGGTCGGCAGAGCGAGGTCATGCCGTCGTCGCTGCAGATGCGCCGCCTTTGTCGCGGCCGCGCAGCTGAGCGGGCGGTGGAAAAACAACTGACGCAACCTGCTGTCGGCACGCCTAGCCGCCGCCGAGAAACAAACGCGCGACAAGTGTTTTTGAGGCGCCGCCGCGTGAGATTTCTGCAGCAGCAAATTGCGCAGAAGGCCCAGCAGGTGTTCAAAAGCGGCTCATTTGTAGGGCGGTCACCTAGTTAAGCGGACAGACAGAGACGCATGCATGTAATGTGAAGAGACGAGGGAAACATGCACCGAAACAAGTGAACAAGCACACGGTACTGCACCGTCGGACGGACATCAGATGGCAGATAGCTGCTTAAGGTATACAAGCAGTAAAACGACCACGGCATGACTGCCCGCTCGCTCACCAGCATGGCACTGAACCTTTCACGCCTGTTTCGGAGACATATCTACCCTCCCCGTGTCCCACCGAGGAGTGAGGCGGGGTGATCTACCCGACACGGACAGGTGGGCTGGCCCATAAGTAAGGGCAAGCGTGCCGGCGTCTGTCAAACAGACCTGTAGTCCTGTACCAGGACCCACCATATAGAACCCACAGACCTGTGGTCGTCTATGCCCGTCTGTGCGTTGGGTGCCGGTCGGCCGGGCAGCGCACACCGAATAGCTGTATTCATGTTAAGTCGGTGGATCCGCCCCATACTGACAACTACCAATACACCAGTCGGAACGCTTGAGGCGTAGCGGGGAGGCGGATCACTCGTATGCTGAGAAAATGGCACAGAATATAAGGCTTGACGGGGCGCGGCGGAAAATAGCTAGTCTGGTCTTAACGAACCACTCGCCCACTCAGCCAGAACGATTCCCACATGGCGCTGGGTCGCCTGCCGTGCTGATCTTGCTTCAGATTCCCCCAGGACGCCCGCCAGAACCTGACCGAGACCCCTGTCCGCAGCACGCACCTCGCCAAATTTCCTCCGATCTCGCATCGCTGACGGCAGCCAATTTGGCGGATCTCCCGTGCAAGGCCCGCATCCCCACAGCCTGCACATCACGAAGCCTGTACACAACAGGTCAGAATTACAAATTAACTGGAGATCACAGCCGCAGAGCGCTCATAGATTTTAACAGCAGCCTTCGGAGCACGGACCGCATACCTAACAGGACATAATGCCAGTGTGGAAATCGCGCCCGCGACTAGTCACCGATCGGAGCCGGCGCCGGTATTCATGACGCACGGGGTCGGGTCGGCGGGCGGCGTTCTGTCACGGCCGGCGCGAGCGCGCCAGCCGGCTGCGCCGACGCGCCCGACCCGATGCCGATCTGCGGCCGGCACTCTGTCAACACACCGTGGCCGAGATCGAGAGTGGCTCGCGCCGCCGGCCCCTGCGCGGCGCCACCGGACCGACAAACGCGCTGAATGCGGGCGGGCGGGCGAGCGCGACGAGTGGCTGCCGGACCTTGCGCATGTGTCGTTCGTTGGGCAAGCGCGCGGCCCGAGCGGGCACCCCAGAGTGGGCGCGTGACGGCGCGGGCGCTTGCGAGCGCTTGCGTGCGCTTGCGTGCGCGCGTTTCGTGGCAGCCAGACGCCGGCATGTGTGGGCAACGGGCATCTCAAGTGGCGCGGAAGGCGTTCCTCGGCGGTGAGTGATTTGTTTATTCGACTTGGATGTCTGGGGGCAGCGACTGGCCTATTGAAAGATCAAATCCAATCTGGGAATTGATGAGCGCCCCAGAGCGGTCGGCCAGCGCTGCCAAGCGCGGCCGATTTAACGGCCGTCAGAAAAACGGACGGCCACGGCGGCAGTGACCACGGCGCGGTGATTGGCGGCGGCCGCCCGGGCCGGCAAACGCCGAAACGGGAATTAGTCGCGCCGTTCGCCGCCTCTTCCGGGGCCAGCCTCACCCCCGGGCCAGGTCGCCGGGGTCAGCGGCGCCCGCCGGCTGCCTCGCGCGCGCATCTGCATGTGGCTTCGGCCGCCAGCCGTGATTACGGTCGCGATCGGAATAATCGGGCGACGACGGCGGCGGCCGGGCAACCCGCCAGCTCGCGCCGGGTGCCGCTGCAGCCTAATGGCACCGATCAGCGTCGCATTTGGGCCACTCGATAGGCAGATAGCGCCCTGCGCGACGTTAATAGCCGGGCGCATGTCCGCCGCCCCGCAAAAACCGGCCGCGTGTGGCCAGGCACCGCGGTGACGGCGGCTTGCGGCAGGCGCGAGCCGGCCCCTCCCTCGCTCAACGCTGGCACCTACCATGTCCGGCGCGTCACCGTGCTGCTCCTCCAGAATGCGCGTCAGGTCCTTGAAGCTCTTGCCGTTCTGTTTCTTGATACTGCGCGCAGGGAAGTAGACGAGCGCGCGGCACGGCTCGGCCGGGCTCGGGCCGCGCTGGCCGCGCGCCTCGCGCAGCAGCTGCTCGACGCGCGAGTCGCTGGCGGTGCGGCTGAGCGGCTGTGAGGCAGCACGCGCCGCGCCCTCGCCGGCGCTCTGGCTCTTGGTCAGCAGCCGCTTGGCGGGCCGCGGCGCCTTCACCGGGGGCCGCGACTCGGCCCGCGCCGGCGACTTGGCCGGCACGGACTCGCTGCGCCGCAGCGTCAGCTCGAACGGCGGCGGCGTCTTGTCGCGCTCCGGGCGCGGCTGGCTGTGGCACTTGGCTCGGCAACGGGCGGCCGCTGGCGCCGACGCCGGCGGCGGCGGCGAGCCCGGCGGCGACGGCGAGTCGGAGCGCGCCGGCGACGAGCTGGCCGAGCTGCCGTCGCTGCCGAGTCGACGCTGGTAGCCGTCCTTGCGTGCCACGCGGCGCCGGTCCAAGCTGCCGTACAGTGGCTCGGCCGCGGCGGCCAGCTCGGCGGCGCGCGGCCGGGCGCCGGCCGTGGCGCGGCGCCGCTGGGCGCGCGGCGTGCTCGGCTCGGCACCCGGCGCGATGTTGGGCAGCGAGCGGCGCCGCTTCATCACGAACCCGTTTCCGCGCTCATCCTCGTCGCTGATCTCAAGCGTGATCAGCTGCGACACGCGCTTGCCCTCCTGAAAGTCGGACGTCTTTACCACCTTGGAGGCCAGCTCGAGCAGGTTCTCGCGGCGCAGCGGCCGCTCGGCGGACCGCTCAGCCGGCGTCGGGCGCGCCTTGGCCGCCGACGCCAGCGTCGACGAGTGGTACAGCCGGTTGGTGACCGAACTGACGGAGCTGGCTGAGCCGACAGAGCCGGCCGGCGGCCGGTCGGACAGGCCGCTGCCCGGCCGCGTCGACGCCACCGACGGCGTCGGCGAGCCAGCCAGGCCGAGCCCCGAGCCGAACGGCGTCCTGGCGGCGTCGGCTGGCGACGTCCAGCGGGCGCGGCGGCGGCGGCGCGCCAGGCCGCGGCGAGGCGGTGCGGCCGCGGCCGCGGCAGCTGCCGCGCGCGCGCTCGCCGCGTCGCAGCGAGCTCTCGAAGGTGCCGAGCATGGCGGCCGAGTGTCAGCGGCGGCCGGCCGGGGCGCCGTGGCCCATGCGCAGGGGTCACTCTCGCTCTCGCCGCGCGGCGGTGCTCTCGGTGGGGCGCGCGCTCGCGCGGCTGGCTGCGGCGCGGGCGGCGGGGCGAGCCGGACTGAGCTGCCGCCGGCCGCACCGGCGCCGCCCGCCGCCGCCACCAGGAGGCTCTGCCGGCGCTCGGCCCGTAAAAACGCACCGCCCCGTCGCATCCGTATTGGTCGACGATTTTGATCCGAGCGTACCGACGTCGCCAAACTGCTCCTATCAATAAGGCACGCTCCTGGGGAGTTCGATCGTATCGGCATAGCTACAAGCTAGTGTGCCCCAACATATAAAAAGCGCAATTAGTCGCATGCAGGCGTGCCTCGCGAGGCGGTTTTTCTGTCGCCAAATGGTGTATTTTAAGCAACAAAAATCAAAGAAAAACGAATGCGTCGCCACCGAGTTCCGTGATTTCGCACGCAACGCGATTCAATCTCAGCTTCCTGTGCACCTGCGCGCTTCCAATGCGCCCGGGACGGGATCGCTCGCCACATCATGCCCCCTCCCCCGGCAAATCGATTTTCGAACGAGCACTGGCGAGCGGTGGGCGCCAACCATTAGCTGCTGTCTGCACACGTCCCACCGCCGCATCGCTCATTCAATCAGCAGCCGCATCTCGCTCCATGCAAGGCAGCAGCACGTTGCCAAGCAGCAGTGTTCACTGTGCTGCTGACCATGCACCCGGGAGGGGTACGGTGCGACCACATCACCGACGGGATAAGGCCGAGCGGAGCAAAGCTGCTGACCTGCGCCCGGTGCCCACCCGCGCAGCGTCGTGATGTTGACGCTGATACGCGCCCGTTTCATGGGCAGATCAAGGATGTAAACACGGCCGCTGTCACGGCCGGTGGCGTTTCTGCAGCCGACCGATGCCGCGGACGGTCGCCGGGCTTCCCCTGCCGCCGCCAGCCCGGCCGCCATTCGACTCAGCGCTCCAATACAAAGCTGAGGGCAACACCCCGCCGTCCGGGAAGGACAGGAGCCGTGGAGTCTTGAACGTTCCGAACGCTACCAGGTTATGCAGGTGACAGCTGACGCTGTGTGCTCACAGACGGCTCCCTTTGAAGCTCTTCAACTCACGCACGGCAATATCATGAAAATATGTACAAAGCATGGGATTTTGTTTTAACCACTCCGCCTTATCGTAAACGCCAACTTCGCACACATCCCGGCAAACCGCTTCGGAAAAATGCATCGCGAACTGTCTGTGGCACTTCAGTGGTCACTCCAGCGTAGCATAAAAGCATGGTTAAGGTTCTTAGCTATACGTCAGAGTCAGACTGGCCGGCGTTACAGTGTGTGTCGTTGGGGCTTTACGACACACTGGGGCTTTACGACACACTCAGCTGCTGAGGCTATATGGCGTCGCCCGCCTCTCACCCTGGCGGGAAGGGAGGGCGCCGCGGGGAATCGAACCCCGTACCTCTGGTTTCCCAGACGTGCAGTGGTTAACGCAGACGCGTTAACCACTACACTACCGGCACTACACTACACTACCGGCATTACAGTCACAAGGTGACTACATGGCCTGGACGCTGCTGCGTCAACAAGCCGAACTGACCCACTAACCCGGCCATGTACTAATAGCAGCTGCGGGCAGCAGACCGCCGTCTCGGGTCTGACCGAGACGCGCCCCCAGTTCCAACACAGCCGAACGTCTTCCTCCCGCCACCCCTCCCCTTCGCCGGGTCCCAGGGGCTCGTCAGTGGCCTCGGTGGGGTGAAGCCCTGCCATGCAGCGACCATCGTGGCGAGTCGACAGCCCCCGAGCGGAGCACCCCGGAGTGCCGTGCACCAACAGTGGCCTCTGAGCACCTGAGCACCAGCGGATCCGGCCAGTGGCCTCCCAACGCCAGCAGTCCTCCGCTCCACCTCTCCGCCATCTCCCTCCAGCAGCGACCCATGGACGCCAGCAGCGCCCCGCGCACTGGCAGCGGCCTCCGCCGGTCGGCCGCCGCCCGATGTCCAGATAATTGGCGCGTCCCTGGCCGGCCGCACGTAGCCGCGCCGGCCCCACTGCCAAACGGCCGGCGGCGGCGGCGGGCCCAGATCACGTGCCGGCGCCCCCGAGGACGGGCCGGCGGCGCGCGCCGCCCGCCGACCGGCCGCGCCGCCGCCCGCCACCGGTGCCTCAGGTCGCCGCGCGTGAGACGCAGCTCACGCGGTCGCGGCCGACGGAGGTCCGGAAGGCGGCCGAGCTCATCGGGCGCATCTGCCGGCGGGCTTGCAGGGCGTGACGCTGGCCGGCTTCGCGCGCCGTTGCGTCACGGTCGCCCTCCAGCTGGGTCAGCTCGCGCCAGCGTCCGCTGAGGCGCCGCATGCGGAGGAGGCCGAGACACATCCGGGGTGGCGCTCCGACGCGCCAGGGACGAATCAGCGGCGGCGTGCGCGGGCGGCGCGGCGCCGGCGTCCTGCCGCGCCGCCTGCAAGCGCCCCTCTGCCGGCGCCGACCGTCAAGGGCGCGCCGGCTGTCGGCGGCGGCGGCGGCCGGCGGGACGTGCGCGCCGGCGTGACCCCCGACCGGCGGCGGGTCGGCGCCGGCCAGGGTCACCGCCCGCCGCCGGCGACGCTCGGCGCGGCGACCGGCGCCGGTCCCGGCGGCGTGGCGGGCCCGATTTTACGGCCCCGCCAGGCCCGCCGCAATCCGTGTCAGGGTAAGGGTAAGCCCGGCCGGCCGGCACAGCGACCGTGCGCCCGGTAAACAAGATAACCACAGGTTGCGGCGACGGGAGGCGGCGCCGACGACGCTGTCCGCGCAGGCGGTGGGTGCTGCACTGGCGGCAGGCAGCGCCGCCTGGCGGCAGGCAGCGCCGGCTGACGGCCGCCAGAGCGGCGTGGCCGCAGCCGCGTCTTCCGCGATGGCAGGGCAGGGGGAAGAGGAGGGCAAAATTGTTCGAGGGATTCTGGGACGTAAGTGCAAAGCGTATGAGACAGTGAAAATTTCCCGCACATCAGGCATCATCAGGAACAAGCGATACCACCGATATGTAAAATCATCGTCGACACCACGACAACGAGCTTAACTACGGACTATTGAAACAGAACAATTTACAGAAGCGGACAGAAGGGCCTGGACATTTCGACATGAGGGCGATGGTTAGGCACCAGACCACACTCACCATCCCATTGATCACGGCCAAGGACGGACCCCAGCAATCACCGCTCACAGATGGGCACGCCGTTGGACACCGACCGGCTGTAGGCCTCCACAGCTGTCCCGACCCACAAACTCACAGCTGACACGGCCGGCACCGTGACGCATAGAGAAGCCGGGACTCGAGCGATGTGCACGGCTGTCAAAAAGCAAACGGGCCACTTTGCATTTGGTGTTTGGCACAGATCCCTTCCTTAAAGGTTCCTTTTCGTTCGATGAGAAAGAAGGTTGAACCTATCTTAATCAAGCTATGTAAGCTCAAAACTTGCGCGTAATTCATACATCCACTACATTCCGAACCGTCGGAATTACGGAACTAAGCCTCTACGCATATAATGACGCATAAGTGCCGCGTTAAAGATCATGTATGCATTCATAAAGCTGAAAACCGCACAAATCTGCGACAAGGTCCAAAGGACCTTCAACGGGGACCTTTAAAACGGTCGTTGTTTCCGACGACTCTACTTGGTCCAGTCATGGAATACAAGTGACTTGTTAAGGCATCAAACTTTTTCATCATCACACGAATTTCCCAAGACGCTCAGGGAGGCGAGTACATGACATCATCAAGTCATCAAAAATGCGAGCTTAATACTCTCACAAACTCCTGAAGCGATGTCAGCAATAATATATCCCATTACAAACAAACAAGTTTCGCTTTCATGTTAACATTTATCAAACTTCTCGTGCCAGCACTCACCGGTCTAAACATGGCTGGCTAGATCTTGACGTGGGATGACCCAGACCACACCGTTTACGAAACGCACTCGAAGGACAGCAACACTATTACATTCATGGCAGCATTCACTATCCTGACGGTGACTTAACGAAGCATCAGTCTTACATATTAAATAAACAGTTTGGTTGCATTAAGACCGTCGGTGCGCAAGGACAGCTGAGCGTCCCTTATTCGCCCACAAAGACAGGCTCAGCGCCTCCACCTATCGCTACGGGCACGTCCAACAGGGCGCGGGTGGTACCATTTTGGTAAGTAGAAGGCCACCCTGGCGTTTCCACGTTGACGCTCATGGCACGACACGCCCGCGGCCTCGCCTTCGGCACATGCCAGCATCAGACATGCTGTATAGTTCCCGCAGCCTGTTGTTGTCGTCACTGGGGCTTTACGACGTACCCAGCTGCTGAAGGCTATATGGCGGCGCCTGCCTCTCGAACTGGCAGGAAGGGCGGGCATCGCGGGGAATCGAACCTCGTATCTCTGGCTTCCCAGACGAGCAGTGGCAAACGCAGGCGCGCTACGCACCGCACTTCCGGCACCCCTTCCAAAGCCTGGCGTGGCCGAAGCGCGCGGCCACAACAAGGAGTCCACCCCGGCAAGTGTCGAGAGAGTGAGCACAGAAGGTGGCAGACAGCGGCACTGCCGGCGACACAGAAACCAGGCTGTAGCAAAGGGCTGTGACAGAGTGGTTAATGCAGCGAACAGTTGATGCCCGATAGCGCCGAGCGAACAAAACACGATGGGCCGGCCGCTCTCGGACGAGCCGCTCCCGAGTACTGCAGATAACCGACACGGACAAGCAGTTTCCGCGGTCTGCAGGTATCTGACACGGAAAAACGCACGCAGGAAGCTGATAACATACCGTCGCGGCCTGCTAATGTGGCGTGTAACGACCACTGCGCCGGCCCATCAGTCGGGGAGCGCGCGCTCGCACCGTTAATCTTGCGGCCGTTCCCACCGGCGGCAGTGGAGCGCGAAGGCGACGCGCTGAAAAAAGCTGACCCGAACCTTGTTCATCTCGGGATAATTAACAGAGAGTAATGGCGCGATTAGCGCGCCGTTTGCACGCATCGGTCCGCTGAGGAGCTGGGCCGGACCACCGCCCTCGCCAGCTGGGAACGCGGCGTGCATAGGCGAGCCGAACCGCGCCAGCCGCCGGCGCAAACACGGTCGCGCCGCATAATTTCGGGCACGCGCGCAGGGCCGGTGCGAGTGAAAGCCCGGCGCGCCGATGTGTGTGGGTTTTCGGTGCCGACACGTCGTCGCGCTGACGCATCGCCGCCCCCATGAATGGCGGGCCGGCCAATTACGAGCTGATGACGCGCCCGGGGGACGGCCGCCGGCCCCAGACGGCGACCCGGGCGCGGGGTCAGAGGGCCGCACCGGCTCCGGGTCACCGGGTCCCCGTGCGCTGATGGATCGACGACGAGCTGGGACCCGCGCTCGCGTCCGATGCGAGAGTCGGGCGACAAACGCGGCGAGGGTTGCGTTCCGGCGGCCGAGCACGTGTTCACGAAGCGTCAGCGCCCGGAGCTTCGGGTACCGAGGGTCCGGTGCGGTCGGAGGCACGGTGTGGTGAACAAACTGTGTCACTCCAGTTCATACATGGCGTGGTGGATCCGGGCGGGAAAGCTCCACGCGGCTGTTCCCGATGTTGACACCGCAATGCTGATGTATGCTGGCAGATCCCGCTCTTGTTTTGACCAGAGCTTTTAGCCGTGCTGCTACCGCGTCTGCTGCATCGGAGGTCGCCTGATCAGCTCGTGTTGCACGACCCCGTCAACTGCGGAAATGAACCGCCACTTCTCGCGCATGACAGCCTGGCAATCAGGCTCCTCGCATCAGAAACCGAGCACGTCCGTGTCGGGATCACCGCCAGGCATTGGCCCAGGGCGGCTTGCACTGTCCGAACGTGCCACATCTGGAGGCCTTCACAGCCACCAGTCCGTAGATACCGCCAGCTAGCCGCCCGGCTGCGGCAGGTCCCCTCCATCAACTAACTGCAGCAGCAGCTGGGAACATTAGCGTGGGCGCTGGACAGACAAGAGGTCGAACAAGATACCGCACTAATAGCGTTGCATGCCCTGAATAGCCTACCAACGTGACCCACCGTTCTCAGAGCGCCTTAACGACTGTCGTTAGGCGTCGTTCGGGCTGCGCGCAAGCCTGCAGCCTCGCGCCGCCGCACCGGGCCCGGCGCGACGGCGGCGAGCGCGAGTGCGCCGGGCCGCCCCTCTCCGATCCATCTTGCGACGTCCGCGCCGGTGCGTCCCGTCCGGCCGCCGACACCGCCCACAACGCAAACACACGCAACCCATTAGAAATCTGGAGAGGCGGCTGGCCAGGGTCGGCGCCAGCGTCGCCGCGGCCGGCAGCCGCGTGGACAAACAGGCGTGCGCGTCGCCACCGTGAGCGGGTCAGTCGAGCGAAACGCAGACGGCGCGGCCCCTCACGGCCGGCGCGAACGAAACGAAGTCGGATCGCACGGGCGGGGCAAGGGCACCGCCATCTCCCCACACAGGTATATGGGAAACAACAATAAGGTCAAGCACGGCGACCGCAGTCGGAGGAGCGGTGTGACAAATGGCATCAAGTCAGAATTACACAGCAAGCGGCTGGGGAAAGGCCGGTGGAGCACCGCGTGATGACTGCGAGGATGAAATGCCGTCGGGAGTATTCGCCAGAAGCGCATGAGCCGGCTCTGTGGCATGCCCAACACATCTGGCGTCACCGATAGCGTCACGGCCAAACACCGGACGCGCGGCCCGAGTTCAAACGGTCACGGCATCCCTGTACCAACGTCCCGGTCCCCAGCCGCTCAATCCCGGTGGAGGGGACAGCAGCTGCAGCCGCCGCCTCCGTCGGCACCGCTGGCAGCGCACCGGACACGTGAGTGCCGGACTGGGTCCAGTTATCGCGGCTGCGTGCTGTACCGGCGTCGCCACACGCGCCGGGCGGATGGCACGACAGCGACCACAGCGGGGTGCAGGACAACGCCACCCCGACGGCTGCCACCAGCTGGCCGGGGCAACGCGTCTGGGCCAGTGGCAGGTGCACCTCCCAGCGGGCGTGACCTACGGCCGCCCCGGCGACCCCGCACCGTCGCCGCCGTCAGTCAGCACCAGCCTCTGCACCCGGCGACGGCCGCGGCACTGCAGGCGCAGCGGATCCATCCGCGCCGGGCCATTGTCGGGTGATCAGCACTGGGGCTCCCCGGCGCGGAGGGCACCGGCGTGACCGCCACGGAGCGGGCCACGCGGCCGGCAGCCGGCCGCTGGCTCGCCCGGCCACCGCCGCCATGAATAACGCATCTGCCTCCCGTCTCGTCATCGACGGCAGTCCGTACGCAGACTTGCCCGGCATCAGCGATGCATGACATGGAGGATAGGTATGCCTCTGTCTCGGCCGTCTTCCTGAAGGCACCGCTCTCTATTACCGCTTTGCTCCCACGATATCCGATAAACTTCCCCACTTCGTCTACTGTCAGAAGTGGAGTTTATTTTTATCTCTGTTTTGGAACGCAACACGCCATTTGAACAACTCACTACGCATCACAAACGGGTTTAGTCATTGCTAGATAGCTCAAAACATGAAAAGAGAATTAGAGAGTCAACACAGCAATGTCATTATTGAAATTGTGACGAAAACAGGTAACCAGTTTCACGTAAAAAAACTGCACGAAAATATTACTTGTTCAAAACAGCGGTCAGCCAACACTTGACAGTGCTTACCACTAATGCCAAACACATGGAGTGATCCCCTGGCCCCTTCCACCCTGGTGTCTGAGACTTTGGATAGATGTTGGAAGTGAAACCTAACGTAACTGACGCATTACAAACATGCGGACCCAAACACTGCAGTACTTCATAAGGGCTTGGAAGAGCACATGAGCCCCCGAAAATGTTTCCAATCTTCTGACGCATGCGAGACTGCTAAAAAACACACTTTGACTCTACGTCTGACCGCAGTTCTGTCAGATACAGGCAACATCCCTTATTTGAATGTGTCGACCAAATGTTCAGTTTCTGTCGAACTTAATACAAATAGTGCCCAGCGAGCAAACAACACGGTGGCGCATTCCGGAACCATTTTGTCTGTCAATCCATCAACATGAAGATGAACGTCAAGAGTGGCTGCATACTGGCTGACAGGTCCCGACCGCGACGTCCTGTCTGTGAGACTGGGTGACACGGCCCCAATCCTACAACTATGCGCTGTACGCTGCGACCCCGTTACTGCACGACGCTGGGGCCCTCATTCAATGTCACTCTCGATTGCTGGAACTCGGACCTTGGCAATGTAGGGCTTCAATGTCGATCCCCATCACTGCATTCGAGATTTGCTATGCCTCACGACGCTTCGACTACACGTCCCCGCCATCTAGCGTCCGCTGCTCAAACCTTAGTTTTCAAGCCCATTCACCAACTACGCCGCCAGAGGCGCTAGTGCGCGCAACGCTCGGCGCGGCCTCCTGAAGGTCGACCAAACCACTGACACTGAGCCTGGCCACGACCAAACAAACCCCCACAGCCTGACTAACACAGCGCCGAGCATGCCCTCGTCGCGCCACCGCGCCGCCGCGACAGCCGCGCAGTGCACGGGGCGCGGCCGGGGCCAGCCGCGGCCGCCCCGCCGTCGGCAGCGGACGGCGGGGCATCGGACCGGCCGGCCCGGCCGGCTGGAACTCGGTCGGTTCCGGCGGCCCGACCGCGGCCCGGGGCACGGAGCGAGAGCCGGCGCTCACCGTTAGCCGCCTGACTCCTCCCGGCGGCCGCGCGTGCCAGAGCGTGACCGACCGGCCGCAAGGTTGAGGCCGCGCCGGGCCGCCGCCGCCGCCGCCGCCGCGGTGACGAGGACGCGGCGATAAGTTGACGGGAACAGCGCGGCCCGACCCACGGCCAGACAAGACACGACTGATAGGCGATCGTGTGACTCAGTACAACGCAAGGCCTTTGGATTTGCCGACAGCTAATGCGCTGCATCCAGAGACGGCGTGATGAAACAAGCGCAGGCGTACAAGAAAAGATAACATCGCGACCAACAAGTCCCAACAGTTCCCTCGAATGAAAGACTCCCACAGTTCCTTCCAAAGGCAGCCTGTCTCACATAGGCGGACACTGATGCACGACAGCGATAACCACTCCTCGATGTGAAGAGATCACTGGCAACGACTGTAGTGGCGTGTCTACTGGGCGTGTCCACAAGGCGTTTCCACTGCGACTGACGGACTCAGGGCCGTCCCATGTTCTGTGGCTCGTGACGACCCGTGCCTACACGTCGCTCCACCGCCACGGACCACCAGCAGAGCAGGGGGCGGCCACATGGACCGACAGAGCCGGCCGCCCGTCCACTGACGATGGTCGACAGCAACGCCGCACTCGACAGTGACGCTCCGCACCATTCATCAAAGCGAGTAACCACTACCGCAATTAGCGTCACGGTCCCCCAGCGATGGGCACCGATCGACCGAGGACGGCTCCTATCTGGACGCTGCTGACGGCACACACTGACGCTCGCGAACCCACGTCAGCGCAAGAGACGTCATGGGACCCCTGTCCGGATTACACCACCGCGCGCGCGTGCCGTCAGCAGCGCCAGGTCCACCCCAGGACGTCCTGAGCGGCTCCGTCGGGCGGAGCCGGCTCCGGCGCGGCCGCCGTCAGCCGGCGGCGCCGCGCGCTCCCACGAGACTAGGCGCGGCGCGCTGACTAATTGTCTGTCAGGACTTCCGCCGGACGCGGCCAGAGCACAATCCATTAAAAATCGACAGGCATTCCGCGTCCAAATGGGAATGTCGAGCGCACGAGTTGCGTTATTCGTGATGCATGGTCCATCGCAGTTGTGGACTAGGGATTTTCACGCATGTCTCCTCCTTCGGCAAGGACAGCTCGACTTTAAAGGTAGCGTCCGTAAGGAAGAACAAAATGACAGTCTTGCAAACTTACCAAACAAGTTTTCGGCCAGGGCAAAATATCCAACTCGTGCCACAACCCCACCGAACCACCAACGACCGTATTGACCCATCCACCGTCCAGTCGCATCACTTCACGAACGCCATTTTCCACCTGCATGTTGACCGACCCACTCTCCCCAGAACAACCCAGCCACAGACCGTTCCACGCGCGACGCCGCCTGTGAAGCCGGCAGAGTCGGCCGACCGCGCCGCGGTCTGTGGCGCCGCCCGTCCGTCCGGCCTTGACCGTGGGTGGCCGGCGGCGCGCGCGGCCGCCACCGGCCGCTTCCGTCCGCCACGGCCCGCGGCAGCCTCGCCCGGCCGGCCCGGCCCGGCACTCTATGGCAACCGCGGCCGACCGCAACGCGACACCGACACCGGCCAGCGTGACGCGGCTCGACTGGCGTCAGCCGCGACCGCGAGGCCACAGTGCGCTGCCGCCGGCGTCGGCCGCGCCCGCGCCCGCGCCGACCGCGATCACGGCACACAACTCTGACACGACGGCTCGTCGCGGACGCGTTGTTCCGCCCGAGCCCGGCGCGCGCGGTGGAGCGTCCGTGTTCCGCGGCGGCGGCGACGCGCGCGCCGCGCCGGACGGGTGCGTCGGCGGTCGGAGCGCGGGCGGGGGCGCGGCGCCGCCACCTGCCGCCGGGTCACGGCCGGCCGGCCGCGAGCCGCCGCGTGACCGGCCGACGGACGGCGTTCACGGCTCGCGGCCGCGCCGACATGCATATTCAGGCGGCCAACGCCGCCGCCCGACGGGTCGCGGCCGGCGCCGGCCGGCTTAGAAAGCGGCGCCCGGCTCGCCGCGCCAGGTGACCGTTCACGACGGCGCGGCGGAATGCAGCGCCTTATCCGCGCGGAGACACGCTCCGACAGCCGTCCGCCAGACGGCGGGCCGACCCAATCCGCGTGAGCCCGCTTCTAGCCCCGTCCGACGCTCCGAGCCGGCGGCGGCGGGTCCCGCGGCGTCCGTCCGTCCGCCCGTCGGCCGGTCGGTCGGTGGGGCGGGCGGCCCGCATCCGGTGGCGCTGGCGTCACGGCGCGGGGCACACACCACCTGGCCGCGAGCCGGTCACGCTGACGGCGGTGACACGCGCCCGTCCGCCCGCCGGCCGCCCACCGGCCGCCCCGCCCCGCCCCGCCCCGGCCGCGCCGTCTGTGCCGGCCGCCGGTCCGGGCAGAGGCAGGCCACGGCCCCGGACAGAGCAGACGGCGAGGGATGCGCAGCGTACACCGACGAGTTACGGAAAACGACGATAAGAACGCGAGAGCTCGCGTATTTACCACTGTGACAGAGATTACGGCAGGACAGAGAGACAGGCGCCCCGCTGGCTTCGCTCGCCAGGTGCGACCGCCGCATACCACCAGACCGGCAGGACACGCGAGCCTGCCCCATCTCAAAATGCCTGGTCACGAGTCCCGCTCGTCGCCGCCTTATCAAACAGGACGTCACACATCCCACGTCCGCCCGTGCAACCTGCGGTCGCGGCCGCTCCGCAACACCGGCGAGCGACAGGCCCGGGGTGTATGAGGAAGGGGGAGGGGGGGGAGGGTCGTGACCTACCTTGTTGGCGAACCTGAGGCTGCCCGTGCGGCGAAGGGTGCCGTCTCGCCGCACGGGGTCGAGGCCGTCCGCCACTGGTACCCGTGTGCCGTCCGCCGCCTGCCGCTGCGACAGCTCCGACACCTCCGGAATCGGCTGCACCTGACGACGGGGGCACGCCGCGTCAGGAATCGGCGGCGCCTGACGACGGGGCGCGCGGCGTCAGGAATCGGCGGCGCCTGACGACGGGGCGCGCGGCGTCAGGAATCGGCGGCACCTGACGACGGGGCGCGCGGCGTCAGGAATCGGTGGCGCCTAGCCTCAGTGGACCTGAAGGCGGCAAGGGAATGAGAACAAGAGGGTAACAGGGTAAGGTCAGAAATCGGCTGCGCCTGGCCCTACGGGGTCTGTGGGCGACAAGAAAATGAGTGCCCGAGAAAAACAGGGATGGGGTCAGGAATCGGTCGCGCTTGGGTACAGAGAATCTAAGGGCGACAGGAGAATGATTACATGAGAGAAACAGGAGTGGGGTCAGGAATCGGTGGCGCCTGGCCACAGGGGATCTGACGACGACAAGAGAACGAGTGCAAGAATGTAACGAGTGTTGCGAGGAGGCTAACGCCTGACACAAAATATGTCCCAACAGTGCGAGGACACAAAGCTCGCATAATGGTAACAGAGAGCAATGTGACTGTCCACACGCGCACCAGCTGCGCCTATGTGCGTCATAAGAAGGCGCGCAACACTCGGACTGCTCATCGAGCGGTGGTCCACGCCTCCGAGTGTAAGCGCCGTCATCAGCTAAACCGGTCAGGCGCCAGCGCATGGGCGTCGACGACACGACCGTCATCACCTGTCAGCGGCGCGGATGCCTCGCCCGATAACATCACACAAACACAAACACATCACATCACCAAAACGAGCGCCATCGGCCCCCCACCGGTTCGCACTGTGCGTCAACAAGCCGCATGTCCCGGCGCCGGGGAGGGTGGCGAGGGCGGGCCATCCAAGGTCGTGGCGGGGGACGTCGTGGCACACTCGGCGTGTGAAGCGTGCGGCGACATGCTCGCCTTGGCACAGTCGGCGACCGGGAAACTAAGCAATTGCCTAGGTCCGATGAACAACTCTCGGCTGCACTGCGTGGCCGAAGCCCACCTCTTAATACCATGGAAAGAATTCACACGCCAGTATGGGTCCGTATAAGGACGCAGCTCGGGTGACGACCCCAGTCATTCCGCGGCTACTGCATCACCGCACTGACACGAAGGAAAACAAAACCCCTGACGGGCAGAGAAACGACAACAAGCGGGCTGACGATTCCCCATGACTTTGACGAGCGCGCTGGACCAGAATGAGGCACGAGGATGGACTCTGGTGTCGTCTGCGACGCTCTCCAACCGCTATCCTAACGTTGTCTGCTAACTTCGCAGCGGTTATCAATGTACAGTCACTTACAAATAAGGCATGCCACCTTTCAACTTCAGCTATTATGTTATCCATGTCCTCTCCCAAAAAAGGTCACAACACCTCTCAGTTAGCTTTCTAACCAGACGCATTACACCCTTTCTTCTCATTCCATACATGACGCCCATCTTTCACAACGAACTCCAGATAAGACTAACTCGGCGTGTCCCGCCGCGAGCACGCCACAGAGCCACGGGAGGCCGCCGTGTCGCGGCGCGGACGGGCGAGAGCTCGCGGACAGGCGACACCCGTCGGTCGCGCCTCCGCGCCCGTCGCCGCGTCCGGCCGTTGCGTCACCCGAGAAACCGCGCGCCACGGGGCGTCACGCGTCCCGTGTCGCGTGCATGCCACTCCGCCCGGCCCGTCCGCGAATCGATGCCTCGTCGGGCCGCCGCTGCAGACGGCTGAACTCTCGCCTCGGCGCGCGCCGCACAGCCGCCGGCGGCCGCGGAGGTCAGGGGTCACCGGCGCGGGAGCGCGCCGGGTCAGAGGTCAACAGGCCGCCTGGCGCCCGGCCGAGCCCGTCACGTGATAACGTCGCATCTCATCAGATCGGCACGGCTCAGGAGGCGAAATCATCGGGTATGATTGGTATGGTACGTTGAAGCTGATGACGTTGTGCCAGACTCGTGTAAACGTACGGTATCGCAAGCCGCGGCACCGCACGAGCAAGGGACGAGATAGACGTGAATGAAACCCGAGCGCGTTGCAATAGATACGGCGAAGACGAAGCTCGGATAAAAACCACCCGTCAGATATCAGTCGGAAGCCTTCGGACTTCGAACTTGGAAATATCGCACCGCACCGTGACCGCTGACTCTCTGACAAACAACTGAACTCCACCATGACGCGCTGACTTCATTTCACTCCATTAACCGACTGCATCAGAAAACTGCCGATCCAATGTCATGCGCTGAACGCCGGTTCGCCGCAGTCGGCCCGGTCCAAAGGTCGCCGCGCAACTGTCGATGGGTCGGCGGCCGTGGCCCACAGGGCAGCAGGGAGTGGTCGGCGGTCCGGCGGCAGACTGAGTCCAGGCAGAGCGGGCCCGGCTGACGCCATCTATCGACCGGGCTCGGCTGAACACGGACCAGCCGGCCGCCGCGCCGACCGCCGCCCCTGTCTGGCGCGACCGAGCGGCCGGCCGCGGCCAGGCATCGGCGGGCACGGTGACCTCACAACCCGCGACTGGACGCTGATACGGAACGGCCAAACACAGGCCGCGGTCATGCACTGGGCACGGGCCATAAACACGGCAGACGGCCAAGCTGCGACACCCCAGCAGGGCCGAGGTAAGGCCTGGAAAGGCACGTGGCGAGATAATGATGACAAGCTCTTCGCTCCAGTCTCGAGGAGCTGCAGCTTATTTAACTCCAACAGTCCGAGGCACAGGAACGTAGCCAAGGAAGGTGTCCGGGAACCTGCCCGGGGATCCGGTGCCCCTCTTCAGACAACGATTTGTATTTTTTATTACAGATGACTCCCGACTTAAGGTTAAAAATCGGCGCGATGCCTACGAACCGAGCTCCAGTCCCTCTCTTGAGAAAATCCTGGCTGCACCCGTGTTAAGGCATACTGGTCATCGCGTCCGCCAAAACAAATACGAGCTGGAATGCAACAAATGACTTGTGAACATTGCCATTCGGTACAGCTAGTCGATCGCACCGACCTGCAAATGTGCCCACTTTTACACTTATGTACGCCGGGCATACGAGACTTCCCCGCACACCCGGCGAAATATGAGGAGTAGGAGGTATGCCTTCCCACTTAGCTAAAAAAGATAGAAGTATTAATAGTTTACAAACGTCCGATTTGAAACTAATTAGCCTTGTCGAGAAAGCGCTTTTGAGCTACATGCCATGCATTTTCTCGATTCCATTAGTATCCTTCTTCCTGGGGGTCTCCACTTTTCAGCAATGCTGTAAATTTTGGCCCCAATACAAGACCACTGAGGAGGGAGTATGCGGTTTTGGTGTCGTCTGTTATGACCATTTTTTAGTACAAAAACTGAGCGCGAACCACACGTGCTGGCACCAGATGCACCTGTAGTTTTTGTACCAGATGCGCTTGTAATTTATCGGTGATGAAGAAGTTCTCTCCGTAAGAATAATTTTCTACTCATTCCCGGAAAATCTGACCAGGAAATATTGTACAAGCTCACTGTCGTGACGCAATTGTTTATGGGAGCCGAATTCTTCTTCAAGCCGTCTTTCGATTACCGACCTGTGTTATGCATAGGTACGTGCCACCCAAAAAAGCCCCGTTCTTGAGTACCTCTAACATTTATCATACTTCCTCGACCTGATATGCTCGTAATCTACAAATTAAATTGAACTGCTTCTGCATCTATTACGAAAGTCAACGCAATTCAAAATAAACACTGGAATACATGTTTTACAAGTAATGCATAAAACCAAAGCATTCCAATACACCCATCCGAATAACGGAATACCATACCCAAGCCGATATTTCCTCTCTCATACCCCAAAGTCGTACAGAAGTACTAGGTGAGGGGTTAAATAGAAAAACTACCATTAGCATATATGAGTATTTTACGACTTGCCGGGTTGAGGCTCAACGTGCATGCCAGGTACGGTACGACCGTGGCCCAAATGCCGAACTTAAACACAGCAAACATACCCGCTGTTAAAGCCTTAAAGCCGTTTGTCGACGGGTTGAGTACATGCCAGTCTAAAACGGCTCATCTCGGTACGAGCGATGGTGAGATAAGCACGCCCAGCTTTCTCCCCGCGTCTCGTGGGGCTGCAGACTATGAAGAATTTGACGTCACCGCGGTTAACAAGAGAGCGGATGCAACGTCCCGCTGCGTATTCCTCGTTTTGTGGTTGCAGTTTATGTTGCGGCATGTATTTGCATAATCATATGCGTGCATTATAATGAATAAAATATTCTTCTACTTTCAACATTAACTTTCTACTGCACGCAAACTGGTGGGGAAGATCTCACGGCTATCTGCCTGTTCCCACCGCTGTCCTTTACTTCCTGAGCAACAGAAGTCTTTGTTGGTGCCAGGCGTGCAGCAAACAATTTGCGGGCGTTCTCACACGCCATGCAAGGAGCCGAAACGATTGCTAAATTACCATCCTGAACACACCGGGGCGTTTTTGATTATTTGTTGCGTGCCTAGAGCAAACCGGCCTATGAGATACGGGGAAGGAGACGCCACGTCCGTGCTGACAGAAAGAGCAGCTTAGAACCGGCTTATCTAACACGTTTAGTCTTCCAAAACATGCGCCGTGCGCCGCAGCGAGAGTCCACCTCTCAGTGAACTTGTGATCCGCAACCTTCCCCGACGACCCGCCTGTTACATTGAACTGATAGTATCAACATCCGCGTTCTTGGGACCTGTCGGCCAACATGTAATGGTCGCTGCGTGCTCCACTGGTCCTGACGCGACGGATGGTGGGAAAAGCTACTTCACTGATGAACACGAGTTACATGGGCTGCTAAATGGTCGCGTAATTGCGAAAGGCGAAGGTCCACAGGACTACAAGCCCCACCAATCCACTCAGGGCGGAAAACTGTTGAAACCAAACATTTGTCGACGGTGCTGTCAACAGCGAGTTGAGAGCATCTCCTCGCGACACACCACGTTTAAGTGATCTAATTCTGCGATGTTCCAAAAACTCTCTGGGCCGCCTGACTGGACCGTTCGACGATCCATATCACCAGATCTT